ACGGGCCCAGCCGCTCCGCGGCATGTGGGATCTTCCCGGACCGCGGAACGAACCTGTGTCCCCTGCATCGGCAGGCGGACTCTCAACCACTGCGCCACCAGGGAAGCCCTCCAGCTTATATTCTAAGCAGCCAGAGGTGAAGATCCAAGACTCATGTTTCCTCTCTGCTCCCCACAGAGCTGAGGACAAGCCAGTTGTCACCAATATATATTGTTTAAAAGGAGTTTCATTTGAGTATTTATTGCCTGTAGAACTATAAGATATAACAAGAAGTAAAGGACAACCCTGACTTAAAAGAGTAGGAATTCTCTATATGGAAGCTAGAGGAGAGTGTGGAGGACATTTCCTTCAATCACCTTGTATACCTGGGGGAACAGAAGCTTAATGTGTAAAGTAACTCGGTGCAGGTCATGTGCAGAGTGTAAGCTAGAATCCGGGGGCTGGTGTGATGGAGTTTGGAGCGAGGCCTCCTGGGTTCAGCACCGGCCCTGCTGCTTACTCAGTTTGGACCTTGGGCAAGTGACTTCCATCCCTGTGCCTCCGTTTCCTTACGTGCGGGTGCATTGGGTTGTGGTGGCAGTTAATGAGGCGTCCTGGCGCAGTGCTCACTAAGTGTCAGCTCTTACTATTACTTTCTGACTCCAGAATGCAAGATCATCAAGTTTCTTCTTTACCATCAAAGATTAAGTGGCACTTGATATAATTTCAATGTTGTGTGTTCTATAGTATTCTAATTTGATGGCTTGCTGTTTGCAAGAGGCAGCAATGATAGAATATTAAATTAACCCGAGTACCTTATTTCTTAAAAGTACTGATAACTAAGAATTTAATTTACCCTGTAAACTGATAGATGCTGTAGTCTAGGATGTGTGTATGCGTAATTTCTGCTAATAGGAAATATAATAGCTGTGATGAAATGGCTATTGTATATTCGACTGTGTTCGGTGGCATACTCTGTCATTTCCATTTGTTTAACCTCATTTTTCATTATCACCTCCCTAAGGGCCCTTTACTGGATATAGTATTCTTACTTGCTCCTGTCTTCCCCCATCAGATGTACTGTATATCTGTTTATGTACCCAGTAGCTTTGCTTTATACATAAAAAGAGTAAGAATTTTTTTTTTAATAAATTTATTTATTTATTTTTGGCTGCGTTGGGTCTTCGTTGCTGTGCACAGGCTTTCTCTAGTTGCGGCGAGCGGGGGCTACTCTTCGTTGCAGTGCACAGGCTTCTCATTGCAGTGGCTTCTCTTGTTGCGGAGCACGGGCTCTAGGCGCACGGGCTTCAGTAGTTGTGCCACGCGGGCTCAGTAGTTGGGACTCGCGGACTCTAGAGCGCAGGCCCAGTAGCTGTGGCGCACGGGCTTAGTTGCTCCGCCGCATGTGGGATCTTCCCGGAGCAGGGCTCAAACCCGTGTCCCCTGCATTGGCAGCTGGATTTGTAACCACTGTGCCACCAGGGAAGTCCAAGCTTTAATTTTTAATAAAAATTAATTGTGGTAAAATAACAGAGAAGAAACTCTGAAGTCTGGCTGTGGGCAAAGAGGCACCACTGGAAGGTGTGCTTCTTCTTGGACCCTCCCCTGCAGTCAGGGGTGCTGCAGCTCCCACCCAGCCTCCAGTCTGGGGTACAGAGTCATTCTCTGCACGGGGTGCAGCTGGTCGGAGGCTCAGAGCTGACCGGGAGGTAGCCTGTTCCAGCCAGCATTTCATCCAGGACCCAACAGGGCTCCAGGAACCGGAAGGCGAAGGCCCAGGTCTGAGGACCGTGTCCTCAGGTCACAGAGCAGAGGAGACCCAGGCAGTGCCAGGAGTCAAGGTGAGGTTGGCAGGGGACAGGCCGCCCAGGAGGGGCGCCCCTGTGAGGCCCGAGAGCACCCCTCAGAAGAAGACCTGCCCATGGTCCCCATCTGTCACCCCTGCCCACACTCCTGTCAGCGGCCCGACCCCAGTCATCAGGCCCCTGGTCCAGATGAGTGAGCTCTGCAAGCCTGAGGCAGACCTTCAGGCCCCAGTCCAGGCCCAGGGCCCAGTGGAGGCGCAGCTGTTCGGGACCGAGGGGGAGGAGGCTGCATCCCCCTCGTCCTCCTCCTCCCCAGTCCGTGCCCACCCCCCAACCCAGGCTGAGTCCTTGTCCCAGGAGGCACTTGGTGTGCTGATGGCTGACCTGGTGGGGTTCCTGCTCCTCAAGTATCGCACCAAGGAGCCAACCTCCAAGGCGGAGATGCTGAGTATGATCCTCCGGGACCATTGGGACCACTTCCCCGTGGTCTTCAGCCATGCCTGCGAGTGCATGCAGCTGGTCTGTGGCATGGACGTGAAGGAGGTGGACCCCAGCAAGCACACCTATGTCCTGGTCCCCACCCTGGGCCTCACCTGGGATGCCATGCTGACCGATGGGCAGAGCACGCCCAAGGCTGGCCTCCTGGTGATGCTTCTGGCTGTGATCCTCCTGGAGGGTGAATGTGCCTCTGAGGAGGAGGTCTGGGAAGCACTGAGCGTCATGGGGGTGTATGCAGGAAGCAGCACTGCATCTATGGGGAGCCCAGGGAGCTGCTCACCAAAGTGTGGCTGCAGGAGGGCTACCTGGAGTACCGGCAGGTGCCCCACAGCGACCCCGCCCCCTACGAGTTCCTGTGGGGTCTCCGGGGCCAACATGGAGACCAGCAAGTGGCAGGTCCTGGAGTATCTGCTCAGGGTCCATCGATGGGATCCCAGGTCCTTCCCATCCCTGTCTGCAGAGGCTGTGAGCATTGAGGAAGAGGGGCCCTGAGCCAGAGCAGCAGCCAGGCTCCTTCCAGGTCCACGTCCAGCAGCTTTTCTTGCAGGGCAGGAAGGGAGGCTGATACTCCACTGTGAGTTTGAAGAGGGAGCAGTCAGCCTTCTAAGTAGTGAGGGTCTGGGAGAGTTAGGGGAACACGGTGTATAGCATCTTTGGGTTCCTGTTGTGTATGATGACATGGAATTTCATCTCTGTTTTCTTTAGGAATTCTTCAAATATTGTTCCTTTTAAAAGAAGGCTTAATAAGCTTCGGTATCTAAGTTTGTGAATGGCATTGATCACACATGTATTTGCGCTAATTCAGTTCAACGACAAGAGTTTTGCTATTTTGTAAAACAGATTGTGAGATTCCCATATTATTCTGTGATCCTGAACAAGATAACATGGCATTGGAATATGAATCTCTTGGAAATGAGAAAGAACTTTAGAATAAAATTGATGAGGTCAAGAAAAAGAGAAATAAAAGTAAAAGTTAATTCTAAAAAATATATATATACACACACACACATAACGTAAAATTTACCATCTTGACCATTTTCTAAGTGTTAGAAACTTTTTGATATAAAGCAATTTCAAAATTCTGAAATAGAATATTAGAAAAAATTTTCATTTAAACAACTTTATGTATACAGGTTGATTATAAGACATTTTTTCAACTGTACTAATTTTTGAGTTGTCCAGCCTGGTATTTTGTACTTGTATTCAATAAATATTTGAATAAGTGAAGAAATGATAAAATATCGCTTTTCTAGTATGTCTTTTAGTAAGTTTGGCCTTCATTTCTCTAGGTGGCCATCAGACCCAAGAGCAGAGAACTCAGAGAAATGTAATAAATGTACCTGGAGAAAAACGCACTGAAAATGGGGTAAGTAATAGTGAATTAAATTGAAAATTTTTAATTGCTTTTTATAGGTACTAGTGAATTGGGGTTATAATTTATTTTTAAAGAATTAATTTTGGGGTAGTGCTAACCGAAAACAATAAAACAGCCAATTATTTTACCAGCAAAACAAGTTTATTTGGGAACAGTGAAGAATTGCAATTCAGGACCCGCAGCTCTGGACAACCACATCCCAGTCCTCTAAAGCAAGAGGAAACTCTTTTTTAGAGGAGAAGGGGAAGTTGGGAGGGGCCGCTGTCAACAAAAAGTCTGTTGGAGGAACCTGGGAGTTTGAAGTATGGTGGCTTTACATTGGCTGAATTGTTGTCAGGCAAAGAGGAGATCGTTCTTCCTGCTGCTGGTGGCAGTAGAATGGTGTTACTTCCTCTGGGGATGCACAGTACATCTCTTCCTGTTGGGATCTGCACCAGTGTCTAGTGGTATGTGTGTGAGAGCTCCCCATTGTGGCTTCCCAACTCCATTTTCCTGAGGTTGCCCTTTATTTTCACAGAAGTTGTCATTTCTTTTGAATATTTCAAACATTTTTATGAAGTTATAAAGTGGCAGTCACTTGAGTGGTAATGGTTTTTTCAATCCACACCATGGCCCATGCACTGGATGGTCTCAAGCAGAGCAGTGCTCTCCATGCCCGTTACATGTTGCCGCCCACAGCATGTCCTGGAGCAGCAGCTGCATGTGTGCCTCTGTGCTCATGACAATGGCCTGTCTCCAGGAAGCAAATGGTCTAGTCTCTAGACTAAGAGATGGGCAGGCAGACTTGCTTCGTATCTTCAGTGTTGATGTCTTGATCCTTCTGTCAGGTCTTAAAAGACAAAGTGGCTGGTGGGTTGAAGTCTTCATAGGTGCCTCCAGGAAAGAGAACTTCCTTTATCATATGGTGTAGAGTTGGAGAATAGGCCTAACATTGATATAGGTGAGGAATTTTGTCTAAGTAGAAGCGTTCTTTTTTTTTCTTCTTTTTTTAATATTTATTTATTTTATTTGGTTGCATCGGGTCTTCGTTGCAGCAGGTGGGCTCCTTTGTGACTTGCAGGCTCCTTTGTTGTGGCACATGGGCTCCTTAGCTGTGGCATGCATGTGGAATCTAGTTCCCTGACCAGGGATTGAACCTGGCCCCCTGCATTGGGAGCACTGAGTCTTATCCACTGTGCCACCAGGGAAGTCCTAAAGGGTTCTTTTTAAGAAATACATGTTAAAAGAATGAGCAGAAATGAATGAATGAGGGTGAATGAATGAGAGAAGGAAGAATGAGAAATTTTCACCATGGTCTTTTCTGGAAGTTTTAGTAATAAGTTTTCCAAATAATTTTCAGGCTGGAGAATTAGTTTCTTTTTCTGGCTCTGCCACTAACTAGGTGTGTAGCCTTGGGCGGGTCACCCCCTGGCATGTGCTTGGCACAGCTATACACTGGAAAAAGCACCGGCCTGGAGTGCGGAGGGCCCATGCTCAGACACGGCTTCAGAACTTTCTAACTAGCTAAGTCTGAGCAAGTTACTTTGCCTCTGTACTTTCCAACTCGCTATTATTGATTTCCGATTTTATTTCTTTTATTGGCTACCATTGTGACTTTAAATGATATACTTAAGTCTCTATTTCTTTGTATGATAAACTTTAAACCATGTCTCTGGACCTCCCTTCTTGTAAGATGAGGGTATTAGCACCCCCTCCCTTTTCTCCATCTCCCCTTCCCTCCTGTCCTACCTTCCAGCTTTTTCAGCTGTACTTTTCTTTCTTTCTTTCTTTTTTTTGCGGTACGTGGGCCTCTCACTGCTGTGGCCTCTCCCGTTGCGGAGCACAGGCTCCGGACGCGCAGGCTCAGCGGCCATGGCTCACAGGCCCAGCCGCTCCGCGGCATGTGGGATCCTCCCGGACCCGTGTCCCCTGCATTGGTAGGCAGACTCCCAACCACTGCGCCACCAGGGAGGCCCTTTTTTTTTTTTAATTTATTTATTTTTGGCTGTGTTGGGTCTTTGTTGCTAAGCACGGGCTTTCTCTAGTTGCAGCAAGTAGGGGCTACTCTTTGTTGCAGTGCGCGGGCTTCTCATTGCGGTGGCTTCTCTTGTTGCGGAGCATGGGCTCTAGGCGTGCAGGCTTCAGTAGTTGTGGCACGTGGGCTCAGTAGTTGTGGCACGTGGGCTCAGTAGTTGTGGCTCGCGGGCTCTAGAGAGCAGGCTCAGTAGTTGTGGTGCACGGGCTTAGTCGCTCCGCGGCATGTGGGATCTTTCCAGACCAGGCATCGAACCCATGTCCCCTGCATTGGCAGACGGATTCTTAACCACTGCGCCACCAGGGAAGCCCTCAGCTGTACTTTTATGTTGTCAATGTTGATAATATTTGTGTACTTTTATCTAAGTATAGTTAAGACTTTATACTTTGTTTATACATTGGTTATAAAGTTGAAAACCATTTAATGGTGTTTATTATTTTAGATTTTTCAGATATTAGCCACTGCAGAGCCAAGTGGTATACTAGATTATATTTTCTTCTTTTTAGTTCCAATGTACTAATCCTTGTGCCACTTAAGGAGAACTATTCCTAATGTCAAGATTAAGGATTCTCCTTCCTTACCCTTCAATTTCTAAAGATCATTCCACAAATCCTCTTCTTATTCCTGCCTTCTGATATACTTGTCCACTCCAAATCTAGAGCCTTTGTGGGGTTCCGTCAGGCATATGTGCTTCAGAAAGTCATAAGAAATAAAGGCCCAGGCCCCACTGGCAGAACTTTTGATTCAGTAAGTTTGGAATGGGCCTGGAAAACTCCCTATATGACTCTGTTGCCCTGCCAGGTTTGGGAACCTCCAGGTTACATGTACCCACTGTCGGAAGCATTCAGAACTTACCTGTACAACAGAATTTTGAAGATCCTTTTGAGTTCTAAGATTTCCTGACCTGAGCTTTAGGGAAGGTGAAGTAAATACATTGAGTAGGCTTTGTGTATTGAGGCGGGGTATGTGTGTATATGATAAAGGGAAGGGACTCAGGAGGAAAGGATTCCCTTCCGATAATGTAATAAGGTGAGTTTTGATGTGATGGGTCTGTGATCTTTTCCAGGATGAAGTTGTTTCTTGTTAACATGGAAATGATGTTTACATTTCAAGAGCAACAAAACTGAAACCTGAAACCAAAATTAAAAATGTGTTTGTAGGGCTTCCCTGGTGGCGCAGTGGTTGAGAGTCTGCCTGCCGATGCAGGGGACACGGGTTCGTGCCCCGGTCCAGGAAGATCCCACATGCCGCGGAGCGGCTGGGCCCGTGAGCCATGGCCGCTGAGCCTGTGCGTCTGGAGCCTGTGCTCCGCAACGGGAGAGGCCACAGCAGTGAGAGGCCTGCGTACCGCAAAAAAAAAAAAAAATGTGTTTGTAGCCTTTACATGAGCTTATAATTAGAGGAAGGTAGAGAGCTAGCGAGGAGGTATAACTCTGGCCTAGAAGCATGACATCTAAGATGTTACTGTGTTTTATGGCACACACACTTGCCTTTTAAGCCTAATAATATATTACCTTTGTGAAGTACTTTATTGTCTACAAAGCACTTTTACATGCATTTTTTTTTTTTTTTTTGGTGGTGGTACGCGGGCCTCTCACTGCCGTGGCCTCTCCCGTTGCGGAGCACAGGCTCTGGACACACAGGCCCAGCGGCCACGGCTCACGGGCCCAGCCACTCCGCGGCATGTGGGATCCTCCCGGACCAGGGCATGAACCCATGTCCCCTGAATCGGCAGGCGGACTCTCAACCACTTGCGCCACCAGGGAAGCCCTACGTGCATTTTTAAAGTTAATGAGATGTTAAAAATGTCCTTCTCCAAAAATGTTTTTGTGTATATCCTGGATATAGAATGGTGGCACAGTGAACCTTCTGTCTGTGGGCTGCAGCAACCAGGAACAGATCCAGCAGCCTGTGGGTTGGAAGAGAAAGACAGGCTCTGATTTGGTGTGATTCATGCCCATTAGCAGCTGCTGAGGCAGGAGGCTGCGAAAGTTCTACTCTCCTAAAATTGCAGGTCATGAAGTCAGGTTGTCTAAGAAATAAAGGCCCACGGGCCTCCCTGGTGGTGCAGTGGTTAAGAGTCCACCTACCTATGCAGGAGACACGGGTTCGAGCCCTGGTCCATGAAGATCCCACATGCCATGGAGCAACTAGGCCCATGCACCACAACTACTCAGCCCACGTGCCACAACTGATGAAGCCCGTGCACCTAGAACCCGTGCACCGCAATGAAGAGTAGCCCCCACTCGCCACAACTAGAGAAGCCCGCGCATGGCAGCAAAGATCCAACACAGCTAAAAGTAGATAAATAAATAAATTTATGTATTAAAAAAAAAAAAGAAAGGCCCAGATCCCATTGGCAGAACTTTTGATTCAGTAAGTGTGAGGTGGTCCTGGAAGACTCCCCATATGACTCTGTTGCCCTGCCAGTTTGGGAACCTCCAGGTTATATGTACACACTGTCGTAAGTATTTGGAACTCACTTTTCCAACAGAACTTGGAAGATCTTGTTTAACTTTATGGTATAAAGGCAAATTGATTTATTCTCATTGTGTATGCCTGTATCAGGGGTCCCAAGACCACCTCCGGTGTCGGTGATTTGCTTGGAGGACTCACAGGGCTCAGCATTATGGTTGTGCTCACGGCTGCAACCTCCTCCAGTCAGAGGACACAGAGCAAGAGCAACAGAGGGAAGAGGGGCACGGGGTGACATCTGAGGAAACCAGGCTCCCAAGAGTCCGCTCCCAGTGGAGTCACACAGGATGCACTTAATTCTTCCAACTGCTAATCGTGACACGTGTGAAATGTCTGCCAGGGAAGCTCGTCAGAGCCCCGAGGCCTGGGGTTTTATTGGGAGCTGCTCATGTGGGCAGCCTCTATCTAGCAAGCACCAAAACTCCAGACTCCCAGAAGGAAAGCAAGCATTTTACTTAGGTGTCCTGAAAGTATCTATACTTCTTTGCTGTTTTCTCAGCCA